TTAGTGCAAAAATCTTCATTTATGTAGCAACTCCTACAAAGAGTAGTATCGCATACCAACAGTAAGACATGTGAAAAGTCAAAAAAGATACTTACAAAAATTCAGTGAAGGTACACTGTAGCAAGTATTGTAGATTTAGCAGCAATATGGTTTCTCTCAATTTTCTGCTAAATAAAATTATTTTTGGCACTTATATCTTCCAAAAATATCGAAACTCTGAGAAATACAATTAAATTTGTTTCGTTCTTCTTTTAAATAAAAAAGAGAAAGAAAAACATCAAAAAAAAAATCTGCAAGAAGACTTGACAACAAAGTGATATCGCTATATCATTCAAGACAACGGTACATTCTCAAGAAATATAGCATTTAATGACCAGCGTACGCAAGGATACGTAAACCCTTACAGACCATCGATCTGTCTAACTAACTCCTTTTAATGAAACATTTTTTTTTGACTCTTTTTCTTATAATGTAATCCCGGAACATCATCGTCGCTAAAATTTTTAAAGAGACTGAAAAAACGCCTACTAAAACAGAAGAAAAAGTTTTGGTAGATGAGTAAAGTGAACTTAAAAAAAAAGTTATGAATGATCTGTCAAGAAAACTGGAAAACTTTTAAAAATGGGAAAGCACTGATGCTGCAAAAGATAACAATGAAACTGATCATAGTGATGACGGGAATATATATGCTGCGTAATCTTCCTGTGACAGTTGTCTACACAAGTACTCCTTTGAAACTGTCTTAGTGCCTTGCTCCTTTTAAATTTTAAAACTTCGTTTTATCCATTTACTCGTACTATTTCACCGGTTCTGTTCCAAGACAAACTGACAGACAAATAAAAAATTTTCTGCGAAGAAAGTGCTGCACAGCTCCTTTCAGCACTGTTGAAACCATAGTACATAAATACAATTGGGTATTTGTGACCAATACAGTTTACAGCCCTAATATTTCACTCAAAATCAACCAAAAATTTTCAAATGTACAAAAAAAATTTAAAAAAAAAAACGGGAGCAAAATTAATGAGATGAAATAGAAGATTTAAAAAAGCATGAATTATTTGGTATTAGTTTTGATTTGTTTCAATTCCAAAATTTTAGATAGTTGGTAAAACTTATTACTACAACTTTTCTTTTTTCAATTTCTTCGGTTGCACAAAAAAAACCAACAAACCAAAATATCAAATTTTCCCAAGCCAAATGACTTTCAAACCAATCAATTTCAAACATTCGTTATTTTGGATGACCGCTCTAGATTCCAATCCTTAGCCGAGCAAATAGGTCGATGACGAAAGCCTAAGCTTGTTTTCTGATCGCTGTCGTTGTTGTTTTTGTTGTTGACCTCTGTTAGTTGTGTTCTTCATATGTCTCATGCAGTTGAAAACAACTTCCAAAAACGCATCTGGAGACATCAGCGATCCGAACAGCAACAACACTGTTAGCAACAGCAACAGCAGTGCTTTGCATCGATAGCCACCTCAATAGCAACTGCAACGGTTGCAGTAGCGGTAATAGTGAAGGGAATGAAAAAGTGTTCCGTAGTGAAATCACCTTATCAAAAAACAAAAAATAATATCCAGCAATATCTGACAAATGAAAAGCATTGAAGAAGTGACCCTTATTTGGTGAAAGGAAAAA